CAGCACCTGCTTAGGCAAGTTTAGGCAAGCGCGCAGGGACTGCAGTTCAATCCCTGGTGCCACAAGTCATGCCAGCCATGCCCCGAGGGTAGGCTGAGCTGGCCCCCCCCAAAAAAAAAAAAAAAATCCAGATGTTGCCAGGTGTAGTGGCTTACCCTTGTGATCCCAGCCAGCCCTTGGGAGGGTGAGGCAGGAGGATTACCATGAGTTCAAGACCAGTGTGAACTGTATAACAAGACCCTGGAACAAAAAAAAAAAAAACAAAGCAAACAAAACAAAAAATTTCAGGTGTTGAGCCTTATGTATATGGTCAATTTTTTTTATTTTTTTTATTTTATTTTATTTTTTTTTATTGTTTTTGGTACACGGTCTCAACTCACATCAATCCTCCTGTTTGGAGGTCTACAAGGTCTACAGAGTCTTACTACATAGATTAGACTCGTAGTGATTCTCCTGTTTTCAGCCTCCCAAGTGCTGGGATTACAGGCGTGCACCATCATGCCCAGTCTCAACCACTGTCTCAGCAAGCCTTGGGGGCAGGGCTGGCATGGCACGTTGTGGGTTGAATCCCCGTCCCTGCACTCTACCGAAGCAGGTGCGTTAGTCTTCTGAGCTATCTGGCCGGCCCTGTATGGCCAGTTGACTTTTGGCAAAGGTACAGAAATACTTCAGTGGAGAAAAAGATAACAAACTTTTATCTTTTTTGTTTTGTCAGTTCATCCAGGCAGGCCAGGCCAGGGCCTCACACTGTGTAACCCAGGCTGACCTTCAACTTATGGTGATCATCCTGTCTTGGGCTTCCATGCGCTGGATTTACAGCCATATACCACCACACCTAGTCATGTTAGTTAAAACTGAACAATAAAAAACAAACGGGGCTGGGGAGATGGCTCAGTAGAATAAGCGCTTCCCTGGCAAGCACAAGGGTCTGAGTTCAATCCCCAGTTCTGGAAAAAAAAAAAGGAATAGCTGAACTTTGGGGGCCTACCCATTAGCTGAATTGTTTAAGTGTCTGTTAACTAAAGCACTCACACTCAGGATGCTGTGGTTCGATCCCCAGATCCTCATGCCTTACCAGATCTGCCCTTCAGGCATGCTGAGCCAGCCACAAAAAAAAAAAAAAAAAAAAAAAAAAAAAAAAATATTAAAAAAAAAAAAAAGGATAGCAAAAGATCTAGGCTTAATGGCAGATTCCTGTAATCTCAGCACTCTAGGAGGCTGGGGCAGGAAGATTCTAAATTCAAGCCCGGTCTGGATTTGTTATTTTCATAGTTTCATAATCTGTCTCTTTGCGAGATCCTGTCTCAAAATAACAAAGGGTTGGGGATGAGGCTGAGTGCAAAAGCCGTGGGTGCAAAGGCCCAGTGTGAGTAATGGGAAGCAGGTGGCTCCTAGCCAGGCATGGTGGTACATGCCTATAAGCCAGCCTTTAGAAGGCTAAAGCAGGAGGATTACTATGAATTCAAGACCAATGTAGGTTACATATGAGTTCAAGGCCAGACTGAACTATATACTGAGACCTTCTATCAAAAAACAACAAAAAGAAGGCTCTGGGGCTGGGGAGATGGCTCAGTGGAATAAGCGCTTCCCTGGCAAGCACAAGAGCCTGAGTTCAATCCCTGGTTCCACAAAAAAAAAAAAAAAAAAAAAGAAGGCTCTGTTGGCTGTCCCTCCCTCCCTCCAGCATTTCTAGGGGCTTTTCAGCCTGGAGTCTCTCTTTTTTTTTTTTGCGGAACCGAGGATTGAACTCAGGCCCTTGCGCTTGCCAGGGAAACACAGTCCATTGAGCCATCTCCCCAGCCCCAGCCTTGAATCTCGAAATAAGGTTTAGGCCTAGTACCTTTTGAAAAGTGTAGTATAAGCAAGTGGGAGTTTATAAATGTATCTTTACTTTTACTTGACTTTTTTTTTTGCTTGTTTTTGAGTCTGGGTCTTGTTATGTTGCCCAGGCTGGTTGGAGCTCATAGACTCAAGCAGTCCTCCTGCCTCAGCCTCCTGAAAAGCTGTGGCCACAGGTACATGAATGACACTGTGCCTGCCTTACTTTGTTTTGTTTTGTTTTTTTGTTTGAGATGCTCTTGCTATATAGCTCAGGCTGGCCTCTTAACTCACTGGAGCCTAGGGTAGCCTTGAACTTGTGATTCTCCTGCTTCAGCTTATTTTTTTTTTTTTTATTTTTAGGGTAGCCTTGAACTTGTGATTCTCCTGCTTCAGCTTATTTTTTTTTTTTTTTTT